TTCATTATTATACATAAATTACATTCATTTATCCTATTCTATCTATCTATCTACATTATGTTGTTAATGGTTTGGAACATTGTTCCAGTTGGTTCGATTCCAGCAAACAACTATTCAATTCTTTAGAAACGGTGTCCAAGAACTACAAAAGAAATAAAGTTTCGTTATAGAGAAATAAAGAAAAAAAGAAAAACTCAATCTTGAAGCTTTACCTTCAAACTTTTACTTTTTAGGTCCCGGGTTTCAATATAGAAAAGAAAAACGAACTTTAGCAAACGTTCGTTAAAAACAAAATAAAACAAATGACATTTCGAATTGTCATCTTCGAAATGTTTGAAAGGGAACCCGGAACCTAAAAAATAAAATAAATAAACGTTAGTATAACGTTCATTAGAAGAAAGTAAAAAAAAAAAAGAATTTCGAAGTATTACCTTCGAAATTCCGCGTCCAGAGAGTCAAAAACCTACAAAAAGAGGAAACAAAACGTCGAGATGTTAGTCAACATTTCGTTTAAATAAATATAAAAAAAAACAACAGACTTCGAAGTTTTACCTTCGAAATGGCAGTAGTGGCGGCTGGGTTCCCACAAAAAGAATAAAATAAAACGTTATCATAGTACCTTTCATTAATAAAAACGTTTCATTAATAAAACATAAAAAATAAATAAAAGTTTCACCTTCGAAATGGGAGTGCTTCAACTTCCTGATCCTAAAAAAAAAGACACGAAAAGTTAGTAACGTTTCGCTAAAATATAACAAAATAAAAACAAAAAGTAAAATGATTTCGAAGAAGTAACTTCGAAATTCCATCCAGGAGAATTTCGGAGAGCCAAATACCTACAAAAGAAAAACTGAAACATTAGGAACGTTTAGCTGAAAAAAAAAAAAAAAAAGCAGTTACCTTCAAAATGGATCCAGAATCGCACCTTCGGTATTCTGGACCTACAAAAAATAAGAACGAACGTTAGCTTTCACCTTCGAAATGGGAGTGCTTCAACTTCCTGATCCTAAAAAAAAAGACACGAAAAGTTAGTAACGTTTTGCTAAAATATAACAAAATAAAATAAAAAGTAAAATGATTTCAAAGAAGTAACTTCAAAATTCCATCCAGGAGAATTTCGGAGAGCCAAATACCTAAAAAAGAAAAACTGAAACATTAGGAACGTTTAGCTGAAAAAAAAAAAAAAATTGAAGTTACCTTCAAAATGGATCCAGAATCGCACCTTCGGTATTCTGGACCTACAAAAAATAAGAACGAACGTTAGCTAACATTCGTTAAATAAATTAATAAAAAAAAACTTTCAAAGAAAATACCTTTAAAATGGAGTCCGGCAGCGTCCTGACCTACAAAAATAAAAGAAAAATGAACGTTAGTATAATGTTCGTTAAAAAATAAAAAAATCATTTCGAACTTTCACCTTCAAAATAGAACCCGGCGATGTCTTGACTTACAAAAAATCAAAACGAACATTAGTTAACGTTCGTCAAATTAAAATAAAAAAAAATTTTAATTTCAAAGTTTTACCTTCGAAATTTACGTCCGGAAAGCCGTGGACCTATGAAACCTATAAAAAAACACAAATGAAACGTTAGCCAACGTTTCATTAAATAAAATTAAAAAACTTCGATGGTTTTGCCTTCAAAGTGGAGTCCGTCACTATACCTTCGGTGTTCTGGACCTACAAAAAATAGAACGAACGTTAATTAATGTTCGTTGAATAAAAATAAAAATAAAAGTTTTCGAAGTTTTACCTTCGAAATGCCGCTCGGGAAGCCATGGACCTATAAAAAGAGAAAATTGAAACGTTTAAGTTAACGTTTCATTTAAATAAAACAAAGAAATAAATTAATTTCAAAGAAATACCTTCGAAATTCCGCCCAGGAGAGTTCCGGAGAGCCGAAACCCTAAAAAAAAAATCGAAGCATTAGTAACGTTTCGCTTGAATATAACAAAAAAATAAATAAAATAAACCGAAGTTACCTTCGAAATGTGTATCTTCGGTATTCTGGACCTACAAAAAATAAGAACGAATAGGGTCCGGAACCTACAAAAAAAAAGAAAATAAAAGGTTAGTATATATCTATACGCCTTCTATTAGAACGATTTTTAACTTACCGGTTCGAAATGGCATCTGGAACCTACAAAAAAAAAAAAGAAAATAGAAGGTTAGTATATATCTATACGCCTTCTTTTTAAAGTATTTTTTTTTTTTACTTACTGGTTCGAAATAGGACCCCGAATAATAC